AGCCGGACCCTGCACGCCCCAGAGTGGATGTCTGAAGCTCAGAAAAAGGCAGGACACCGGTTGTGTAGCTGTGGTGTGCATCGCAGTCTGTGTGCAGCCTGTTCACACCCGAGAACCACCACCATCCACCCGCGATGTTGACGGCGGTTTGAGGCCTTCTCCTCCATGCCGTTGGCCGGCGTGCTTTCTACGGGGTGCACTGCTCAGCATCTGCAGTGTCCGGAACAACCATATCGAAGTTAGTCATAGGTCTTGGTGGAACACAGACAGCGTTCGAAACGTGGCGTGCTGCTTTACCACCACGAGTATTGAAGCTACATCACTACATGTGGGTAGTTGTCAAAATTATGGTCCCTTTTGGGGTACCCTAAATATTAGGTGCCGTATCATTATAAGGACCCAAAAAGGGACCCTAATTTTGACAACCACCCAATGTAAGTATGATCTACAACTCCATGTTCAAGGATTCAAGACTGAACAGATCAGAGCAGAGGTCGGCTACTTTTTCTAAGTGCGGGGATGCCGTTTTCAGCTTTTGGTGTTGTGGTTCAGTCTCCAAGATATTATAGTAGATTATAGTAGATTATTGTATATTATATAGTATATTATCGTATGTTCTAGTATATTAGAGTATATCATAGTTTATTATAGTATATTATAGTATATTAGAGTATATTATAGTGTATCATGGTATACTAGAGTATATTAGAGTACCGTAGTGTTCAGTGAGCCGAGGTACCGAAAGCTGGGAATGCTGGTGGAGCATCTGGAGACGAGAACCTGGGAGATGCAGGCACCAAGACGCCGTAGCCGCCGTGTTCTGCAGATCATACTTTGCTACAAAACACTATAATGTACTATAACAGACTATAATAGACTATAATATACGATAATATACTATAGTATACTATAATATACTATAATACAAAAAAATATACTGTAATCTACTATAGTATATACTATAATATCGTGTGCTCTCCCCTTCCCTTTACTCCGAGAGCCAACTTGGAGATGCCACCCTGCAGTGCTATGTTCCTTGCCTTTGCGCGTCGGCCAGGTCATGGGCGGTGGGCACAGGGTCACGGCAGACTGGGTGCTGAGAGCCTCTAGTCGCTGTTTCAGAGGTGCTGCAGGAATCCCACCAAAAAATCCAGCAAAGAGTAGGACCCATAGCATAACTCGTGGATTAAAAGATCCCGACTTGAAGGGACACACTCTGTTGAGGAGACCTGGAAGTCGGAAAAGTTCAGGCGGCCTCCACTCTCCCGCTCACCTGCACATCCACCTGCACACTACAGACCACGTCATATACTGGCCGAAATGGTTGGAATAGGGTGGAGCATACTGTAGAATCACTGTAGAATGTCAAGGAGCAGTGGTAGAGGCTATTCTTCAGGCTACTCTATACATATATATATATATATACACTTATACTATATATATATATATATACATATATATATATATACATACATATATAATATGTATATATATGTACTATATTTATAATATGTATATATATGTATATATATATATGTATATATATATATATATGTATATGTATATATATATATATATACACATCATTGTCTCATGGAGACTGCAGCCGCCTGCCTTGCCGAGGAGATCGACAAGTTCGCCCAGGGTCTCGGGAAATGGCTCAAGGCCCTGGCCTTCGTTGAATTTCATTAGGGTCTTTTGGGGTTTACGGTGTAGGATTTAGGGTTCACTTTCGGTTGATAGGGCTTAGGACGTTGAGGATTAGGCTTGAGAGCGTCGATGTCCCGCTGAACTGAGGGTTGCAAGGGTTTCTCGTCTTCGGCATTCTTAGAGCAGGTCAGGCGGACAAAAGTGCAACGCAACAATTGTGCATCCCGAAGCCTCTGAACGCCGGCTCACTACCCGAACACACATCTACCCCCACAGATCTTAACAAGATCGGTCTCTCGCGATCTGTCCGAGAACTTACACGCTCAAGCCGCTGCGATGTTACCTTCCGTCGTCCCCTGACACTACACGCCACACATGTCGCTCACCTCGGGATCCTCAGGCTGGTGCATCCAGAGACTATTCCGCATCAAACCAAGTAACATGAGCACGCAATTATTATAATTACTTCTATCGAAAAATTACTACTAACCATTATTGATACCAAAACTACGCTGATGACTCAATGATGAGTGTTATTATTGTTCGTAGTGTTAGTCTTAGTCTAATTCTTGTTCTTATATGTATATTTGTTATATGTTAGTTAGTTAGCTCGTTTCTTTATATGTTTTATTAATGTATTATGACTACTACTATTGTTTATGTTTTTATTACTGTGATTAATACTCTTATTGCCATTCACATCATCATTATCATTATTATCACCATGATCATTATTGTAATTCTGGTCAGTGTTATTAGGACTATCCATACTCTTATTTTTCTTCCTCTTTCTTCTTCTTCTTCTCAATGCGTTGTGCATCGTTGTCAAAACAACCCTGCGAGAGGTGGCCGGCGATGACAAAGCCGAGATACTTCAACACAGCATCGGGAGCCGGCCGCTGACGGAGCTTCTTGCCTTTCTGGGTTTCGGATTCAACGGTTGAGGGTTCAGCAGGCATTCAGGGTTAGGGTCTGGGGCTTTGGATTGGGATTTAGATGTGAAGGGATTTAGGGCTTTGGGACTTTAGGATGTAGCAGCCATTTCTCTCTCCCCCTCCCTCAGAATGCGAACGCCGCGAGGCACAAGACAATGGTGGAGTTCGGCAGCTTCGTGACATGCCCGCTTGGCACCGTTCTTGTTCTTCAGTCCACTTCAGAAGCCTCGGACCCAGGAGCGAACTTAAGCATAGTACTACCAATACTAGTAGAAGTTCTAGCAGTGGTAGGAGTAGTCCTGGTATAGAAGGATTTCCATCGTAGTGTGCATCTTGGGCGGCGTGCATCGTTGCACGCGGCATCGTGCCTGAGTGCTCCGCATCTATCTCTAGCCACACATCAGCTGCGAGAACTCGCAACCCTGAGCCCCCAAGGATGCACACATCGAAAAAGCTCATTCTGCTGGGCTCCTGTCTCTAGTATCTTAAATCTTAAATGCTCCCCCCCCTCCCCCAACAAACCCTCTTCTACTCAAGTCAGGCAGGCCCCTGTAGTAGGGTTCTCAAAGCTTTTTGAGCCGTACCTCTATAGCAGCAAAGGTGGGCTATACCGCCACGCGCATGGGCCGTGCCGTCGAGCGGACCTATGAAGCGGGGCAGCGGACTAAGCACGTTAATTCCTCGGGAACTTGAGGCCTAAAGCCTTAAGCCCCAACCCCTGAAGCGAGCAACCGCTACCAAAAAAAGCTAGTTCGTAAAGCTGGCAATGATAATGCGGTTTAGGGTGTTTCTTGGCTTGTCCGGACACCGATGGAAGATTTAAAGCTGGTATCGAAGCTTGATCTCCACCTCGACTCTTGGTATCAAACCACGACTGGGATTAAGATGCTGCCCGATATCAGGTATGCGGATGGCTCCATCCTGTTTGAGGACTCGCGCCTGCAGGGCGCGAACAGGATCACGTCCATGGAGATTGATCCGGTGCCCCCCGCCCCTTCACTGGAGTGTCAAGCACAGGCCCTGGTGTATCGAAGTGGCCAAGCCGGTCGCCATAGGGACAGAGCTCAGCTTTGCAAGATCGCGCTCGTGAGCTCACTGCGAGTTGCCCAAGCCTAAACTTACCCTAAACCCTAAACCCTGGCTCAAGTGGGGCTCTTTCTGTTGTTACTGTTGAGTAGCGTACATCGGGTCCAGTCGGCTGCGTTGCCCAGTCAAACCAAGGCAATCAACCCGAGCACTCGTTGGCCACTGCTTCAGGTGTACTGACGGCAGTCATTGCCCGTGGTAGATTCTCCCGCGTACTGGTAGTAGCTACAATGCAAATAGCCTTCGGCGGCGTGGGGCCTATTAATGCCGGCTACATGCTGCCGTGGAGTTTGGAGGCACCAAAGGCATCTGGACAGTTGACAGTCACCAAGAACGTCAAGGCCTGCAGCGACCCTGTCCGCGTGCAGGTGCAGACCCACATCGAAGGTCAAGAAGCGGAGCAGGCTGTGGCTGAGGAGCCAGGTTCTCCCCGAGCCATTGTCCAGGACCACCGCCTTTTCAAAAGCATCAAAGGCCCAGTGTCAAGAAGACAGCAAAAGCAAATGGAGCGCGTGAAGATGCTGAAGGCCCGCCTTGGCAAGGTATCTGCTCCGGCAGACACGCAGCCTGAGCATGGTCCGCTGCCCGTTGGCCAGGTTGACCGATGCCTGGATTTACAGGCGTCGCCAGACACTTGGAGTGAGATTGCCCAGGCTGCAACATGCTCCAGTTTGCCCGTGGTGCATAGCCGAGCTGACACCTACTTTGCGTCCGGCCCAGCGGCCGAATCAGCTTGGTGTGACGCCTTCTGGAGTGAGCACTGTTGGCCCAAGAGTGGATATGACAATATCTGTGCATGGGACCAGACTGATCATGGTTGGCATTAAAACCTTCTGTTTCAGCAGTGTGGACTGTTGGGATGCTGCTGATTATGGGCCTGAGTCGCAGCAGAAGTGGCTTGCATCCAGGAGCCTGGCAGGTGAGGACTCTTTGGAGAGTGGTGTGGAGTGATTGAGTACCCGTAGTATGTTGAAGCATTTAGTGGTGTTGTGTGGTTGAATCCCCTTTCGCATGTGACCCAGGCTCCTGTTCCCTGCCTCAACCAGCATGGTATTCCGGAACCCTTATCAGGCGAAGGAAAAGAGGTGATAAAAAAAAACCTAAACCCTAAACCCTATCCCCGAACCCTGATACTCCTATCACGCGGCGAGGTACATGCGTGCATCGCGCGGCATGTGCTCGACATGAGCCGCCTCTCGCACATCGTCGAGGCAATTTGCTTTTAGCACGATGGTGACTGTGAGTTGTGTTTTTCTAAAGTAGAACCCATGGGCCCCTAGTATGGGCCCTTAACCCTGGGACCCTAATATACCCACTATATACCCTATA